AAATTTATCATACGTTTTGAAAATGACTTCTAGCAATTCATTTCCTTTCTTAAAAATCGAAAGAGCGATATGAAAATAAATATAGATTGTTCAAAGAATGATTGGACAAGCGCGGAGTAAATCTTTTTCCTACAAAATCAAATAGGGCTAGACAAGTTACAAAAACTCTTGCTAATGTAAAATTGTTAAAAAAAAGAGGGAGGAATTTTTTTTTTCCTCCCGGGGAGGAAAAGAGGCATTTTCCTCCCGGGGAGGAAAAGAGGCATTTTACTCCCGGGGAGGAAAAGAGGCATTTTCCTCCCTCGTTTGGGGGTGGAAAATTAAGTTTTCCAGTAAGGTAGTAGAAAAAATATTGTTCAACCACAATATTTACAAGTCTAAATCAGCACAAAAAAGCGAAGTTAATCTCATAGCATTGTCTTTAAGGAACACATAAGACACATCTACAGACAAATAAAATCAATTATTAATAAAAACAAAAAATATACCAGAAACCACAAAACCAAATAAAGGTAAAAATACTGTAACTGCGGAAACATGGCAATAGGCACTAGTGGAGAATTCATTAAAAATTATTTAAAAAATAAACTGACAGATCAAACTTTTAAAATAAAAGGTCTTAAAAAAAAGAGACTTTCAGGAGTGAATGCTATAGCATTCACTCTTGAAACAATGTTAGATAATATAGCCAGATTAAAAAAACTTTAACTTTAAAACTTTTTTTAGTATCCAAATTCTGCCAGTGGGCCTCCAACAATAAAAATGTAAGTAAAAATGTATATATTTATGGATTCAGAGCTTTGTTTTGCTGCCTCCTAAATTGCCGCCCGAGGCAAGGGCCCCGCGTGCCCACTTAGATCCGGGCCTGACTACACCTTAAGTTGTAAAACTATTTTTTTGACATCTCTACTATGCATTTTCCTAGCATAAAATTTTGAAACAAACCTTAAAAAATTGACGATTTTTTCTCCGCAATGCCAAAAATGGTATTCTTTAAAGCTCTGCTTCTGAAGAATATTCAGTAAATAATTCTAATAATCATGACATGAAATATAATGACATAAGATAGTGAAAAACGTCGTTTTAGAAAATGGGACACAAGCCATTCTAAATTATTTTACGAGCTTCCTGCTTAGGAGAACACTAAAACTTTACGATATTGAGTAAAAAAATGCATAAATAGAGCCATAAACATAAAACTAAGATCATATTACAAGCTGTGATAAAAACAGCAACAATAGGTAATGTTTTCACATTTCTATGTTAGTAAATCTTAATTACAAATTAGTCTCGTTTAGCCAATATAGTGCAATTTAAAATTTAATGTAATGTTAATTAATTACGGTTTATAAGGGCAAAAGTGATTATGGCCAGTTAGATATTAACATTAAGTTATGGAAAATTGGGTATTTTTAAGCTATAAAGTTATTGCCACGCCATATGTTTGAGTGTATTTAAATTTTTCACACATCCTTTTGTAGTTTTTAATATGCTTTTTTGTGTAGGCTGAAGATAATTAAAACTTCAAGATGTTACTTTTAAGGAAACGCAGTATTACTTTATGTTTCCGCTAAAAAATACTACTTTATAAATCAAACGACAAAATAGCTGTCAACATTCAAGAAAAACAAATAAATTCTGGTCTTACTACTGTTTTAATTAAATTTGAAAAGAAGTGGATGCATGCAGTGTTTTACGTTTTTCAACTATTGCACAATATAGCGTATACAGTTAGGAATATAAAATGATTTATTCGGCATAAATATAATAAATTTTCCATCATTCAATCATCAAGTTAAGATTCTCGACGAGCGATAGCAATATTTATGGTGAATGTAAATTTATCTCTTTAAACGGAAAAGGAATAAATCCTAGGAAAATAATATAAAACATTTGTCAACATATTGCGTTTACATACCTATCTTATAACAACATGACATTGCCCATAAAGGTATAGAAGGTCATATGAATGGAAACGTTTCTTATGGGATGAAAATTCCGAACTGTACTCGAGTTCAATACAGTGTCTTACTATTCAACTTTATTTAATTAATTTGGAATCTTGGCATGCCACTTTCCGGCAACACACTCGATCCCTCGCCATAAACCCTCTCTCGAGTGCGAACTCAATCAAATTCATTGAATGCAAGCACAATAGTCTTTTATTACTGCATATGTACCCAGTCGTAAATGAAGATTTATAGCACTAACCACCGTTATTACGTATTCTTATTGTACAAGTAGGGGTACAGGTTTTTCATCCTACCGATGAGTCACAAATTTGGGACCCCAGAATTTGCGCAAGTAAAAAGATTAGAAGAGGATTATTCTACAATTCTACAATAACAATTAAAATTTCGGTATAAAACCCAAAACTATTGTGACGGTGTATTTTAATTATTTCCATAAAGTCTCAGGTTGGTTTTCTCTTCTTTAAAGTCTCCCCTTTTCATTCCTTTGCTTATCCCGCCTCTATTCACGACATTGACAAATTAAAAACAGGATTCTTTTCACAAACAAATTTACAGAGTTGAAAAGTTTGCCGTCTTAATGCCTTCAGAGAAAACTTCTTTAAAATAAGAAAATGCATTTTGAATCTCTGATAAACCGTCAAAGTGTAATTAAATTTGTATAAATTTACAACTGCCTACTGCTACACGATTTTCCTTTCATGCTGTCTGCTTTATATGGTCAAACATGACTTCTTTAAATACGGTACACCATAAAGTATAATTCAATAATAACACAAGTACAGATTTAATTACAGGCAATTACGAAAAAAAATTATTGATGAATATGATTTTATATGCACATAGAGAATGTTTCATAACTGTAGCTACAAAGTCAAAGACCAAGGATTCTTATATATTCTTATATATAAACAATGGGGTTGGGAAATGCAATGTTTGCGTATTTGGGATGTACGGATACGAGTTTTTATAATTTTTTCTACATTTTTTAAACAATTTTTGAGAACGCTACAAAACGCAAGATTCAAAACTCCTTAATGACCTTGAACGATGTTATAACATATGTGTCAAGAATTACGAATAAATAGGTTTCTAGCACGGCCCTATATATAAAAACGCTTAGATAACCTTAAAAAGAGCGCCTGACGTTACGTTATAATAAATGTGTCAAGAATTACCAACACATCCAACATCTGTTTCTAGAACGTCAAAATTAACGTATAATAAGTAAAAACTCTAAAACGCTTTTACCAAAAAGTGTTCATTTTTGACGACTTTAAAGCGCTGTATTTTCGTTACTGTTCGTTTGATTTGTACAAAATTTTTAGGGTATACTAAGAAAAATACGGTCTTCCACAAAATATTTTTTATTTACTTAAAAATTAATTTCCCTATAAAAGTTTTTTTTTCGAGCATTTTTTATTATTAAATAAAAGGGCTTTAGGGATATTTTCTCAAAAAACCCTTCAACACGTAAACTGAGATATAAGTTGAAGTATTTTTATACAAAATTTTATAAGGATTGATAAAGGCGTTTTAGAGTTGGATTTTTTTTACTTGTTATGCGTTAATTTTGAAGCTCAGTGTATATCAATTTCAATATTATTTAGTATTTAAATCATTTGAAAATCGAGGTAAAATAGATACTAGAGGTATAAATTTTAAAAATATAATTATTATTATTAAAACAAATAAAAAGATTATCAGTGAAAGAATTTGGTTGTTTTCAGAATTTTTTTTGCATATATAATTCATTCGTTAATCTTGACATACCTATTATCCATACCAATACTGCACTACCAATACACCATTTATATTATAACATCGTGACGTCATGCTACCGATAATTTATCGATTTTCAGTCATTTTATAGAAAAAATTCTGTATGATTGCTTTTAGTGACTAATCTTTATAATGTAATTGGTTTAACACTATTTTTCTACATAATGTCTCAGCAAAATAAATAAACAGATAAATATTTTAGAAGGTTGGTTTTAAGGAAATAAACTAAGAACATGTCTTTACAGATGATTTTAGACCTTTAAAACCGTTTTAACAGTAAACCGCTATTAAGAAGAAAAATGTCTTTTTATATCAAAAATAGTATAAAATAATATATGACCACATTAAAATTATGGCCTCCAGCTATTGTCTAGCGTGGCAGTATCTTTCTTCCCCTAAATCCTTAATAATCAGACGCATATTTCCCCAAAAAGGTGCACCCTTCAAATTCTGACCCTCGGTAAGATCCTCTACCCACCGCAAATTCAATAAACCCAAACAGTGAATATCTGTATTTAATCATTTTGATTGAAGGAAGTAACCCAATTGATTTATAATAATGCAAGTGGTTTATTTATCAATAAAGGAAATTAAATAATTTGTTTTGCAGACAACGATACTTTCAAAGAGAGGGTCACAATAAGATCCTACATCAAAAGAAGTAAGATATTTTGCATATATCGTTTTAAGTAAATTGGATGTTTTGGAAAACCATGTTTAAATTCAAACTTGTTTTATTTATGTTATTGATTCTATTTTCATATAGATTGGAAGCTGCTTTAAAATGCATTGAGCTTTCGTATTAAATTCAAAACAGATTTCTTCCCATCATATCAAACAGTTATATACGGCTGGTTTTTTGCTTTGTCTTTCTTAACCGTTGTGTTCTTGATGTCTGTCAACCTGTAGGCAAGCAAAACAAAACAAAAAGACTTGTTTTCTTGTTTTGTTCTTTTATTATATTGCGGTCCTGCAACTTTTTGCAGCAGATATAAGAAAATCAGTTTCGAGCATTCGGCCAAAATTGGCCCCCAACCTACGTGTACAGAATGCTACGTTTTCGATATAAGTTTTGTAAAAAATGATATTTTATATTAATGTTGGGGGGATTTGGGATATATGAAAAGTTTTGTTTGCAGCTATTAAGATGTCAGACGTGACCTGAAGAACAATAGATATATATTTCAATTGAGATTTTGTTCCTTTTGTAATCAATTATAAATATTCAAAGAAAAATATAACTCATTCTTACCTTATTTTTGCCTCCTTTACAACTGGCCTCTGTGGGTGTTTAAAAACTCTATCACACTGCTCAAAATTTTCAAACTTCCTGGTCAACATGGGACTAGTAGCATATATATCCGAACTTTTAATGGAACTAGTAGAACCATACGTTTGGCCACTTTTAAAGTACCTTAAACTACTCAATGAAGGCATGGTGTTATAGTTGTTAGTATTTGAATACATGTTTCTATCGTTGGTGTTTTGGATGATTTTATCAGAATTATCTGAATATCTTCTTTCAGGCGTTTTGTAACCTATGGCGAACTGTTTGATTTCCTCATTCTCGTCTATGTCTGACATGTAATGTTCATTGTAGAATACTGTCTGGTATTCAGGTGATATTTCCTGTTGGTGAGGTTGGTACGCATCGAATTTGTAGTTTAAATCATGGCTAAGATTGTTTACTTCTTCTAATTCCTGTGATAAAACGGAGTCTCTCGAAAAGTATTTGCTTTTTGGCGGCATTTTATTTCTGTATTCATCAAAGTCTTCTAATCTTTTGCTTAGGTCTTCAAAATTCTTATGCCTTGGTAAAGAAGATAAGCCTAAGTTGTCTGTGACTGTTTCATATTGTCTTACAAGAGGTTCATTCTTTATAATGCTAGGTCTATTTTGCAGGAATATAGGAGACCTTCCTAGTATAGGAGATCTAAATTCCGTACTTCTGGAGCTTAGGATTTTTCTGTAACCTAATCCACCTCTTGTGTTTAGGTCAAATCGTGATGTCATCATTATGTTTGCCATAGGTGGAGGTGTGGGGAGAGGGAGATCTGGGAGGCATAAAGGGGAAGTGAGTTTGTCTTTTTCAGTAGTCATTTTTATAGTTTTTTTATCATGAGGGTTATAGGAAGCACGTGGCGGCAGTATTATTGATTTTTGTTGAAGGTAAGTCAAATTTTAACATTGTTAAATGAAAATATAGTTGTTAATATAGTGTGTTTGGATAGTTATATAGTATTTGTCGTGTTCTGATATACGTTAATCCTTTAAGGATGTTTCCTTTTATACCACGTGGTTTAAACTTCATCACAACACTTCACGCACGCTCAGCAAGCAGCAAGTCCAACTTTGCACACAAATCTCACGTTTAAACCCACTAAAACTTAAAAAAACTTATGCATAAATAAAAACCCACGTTTGCCCGAGTATTTCTAACACATACTGCTAGTGATTAGAGTCTTCGGTCCGACCCCTCTAGTCCATGGTTAGGGTGAAGAGGGGGTGAAAAGGGGTGAATTTAACGGGGGCAGACGGTGACTAAGCGGGCGTTTTTAGGGGGGACTATATGTAAGCGAACCGATTACGAATTGTGCCGGTGTTATGACATACAAGGGAAGACAGAACGTGGCAGGAGTGCACTGTAAGTAAATACTGGTGCAATAGCCTTATTAAAGGGCTTCGTGTTTTTATTAATTGGTGTTATTTGATGGTGTATGTTGTCACATTCGATTGTTATTGCAAGGCACTCTTAAAGTTGTTAGGTATGCTTAAGTAAGGTGTCATTTGAAATAACTAATTTCAAATAAAATATCTGAGATATTTTGTTCTTCCTGTCGGGCTGGTTTGTGTGGGTGTAGGTACGGTTATTTGCAGGTTTTCTGCACGCGGGAAAGGCCTTTTAAAGGCCCACGTACCAAGTGAGTTTCGGCCACGTGTGTTTATAGGTGTAAAGTTGTTGAGATATTCTGTAAGCTTTTCTGGTGGGATGTAATTTGTGCTAAGGGATTGGTCTATTTAAAAGTTGGCATTGTTAAAAAAACAGATAAAATCTTTATGGTATACCAATAATAATAATAAATATGAAAAACAAAATAATTTCACAAATAGATAAAAATTTGTATTAAAAAATTTAAATTAAAAACGTCTCTAAAAGTTAATTATACTTCCCAAGGTTTTCCTAATTGAAATTTTACATTTTATTTTTTTTGCATTCCAACGATTTCAAATCATGAAAAAACAAACATGCATGTTTGAAATATGTATACAGAATAAATTAGGTATATACGCTTAATAGTTTTCTCATGTTTTGCAATTTTTTACACTTGCAGTCTTAATGCATGCAGCGCATCTATTAATGATAATAATTTTTTGCTAAAATAATAAGCATTATTAAAATTTCTTTAAAGACCTACTTACATAAGTAGGTACTATTAAATAAATGGAAAATTAATACTTTCTCTAACGAATATAATTAACACTGGTCGACAAGATTACATTTTTTGTATGCCACAGGGTGGCCAACAACTTTTTAGGGTAATTGGAGTTCGCTCATTTCAAAAATAATCATTTTGGTCAATTACCTCTTGTGTTTGCGATATTGTGGAAAAACAGGAGTTTTAAGGAAAATAACTTTATCTACTTCCACATTGACGAGCTGTGACTTTATGGAGTTTTAGTTACGGGCTGAAGTTAGCAATAGTTGATTTTGGGCATTTTAGTCACGGGCTGAAGTTAGGTTTATTATGAATTGGGAAAAAGTGAGGTGGGAAGTATAGCATGCAACACTTCTCTAAACACTCGTTTTTATTAAACACTCGCTTGCAAGCTTCGCTCGTGCCTAATAAAACTCGTAACTAAAATGGCATTAATAAAACTTGATACTTGATATTATGAATGTGTATAATTTATTTTTTTTATAGCTAAATTGACAGAAATTTGCCCATAAGTTTATAGTAAAATTCTATTCTAATTAATTTGAATTCGTTTAAGAAAATCTGAATATCCTGGTAGAAAAAATAGGCTAGAAATATATTTAATGTGAAATGTAATGTAACTTAACTTAACAAACCGCAAATAAATATGATGCGAAACACAATCACAGTTCGCGGTGTTGTTTTTTATTGAATTTTAAATTCCCGCCGCCAATCATCAAGTGCAAATTATTTCGGTTTTGTTTTTATTACTGTGCATTCGCGCCGACTTGAGATCGAAAATAATAAAGGTATTATTACACTTGAGACCACAAATTGCCTCTCTGCGGTCAAAATAATGGCGTACCGACGCTACCCACCGTGTAATATCCGGTTAGATTTTATTAGAAAATTTAATTTAAATGGGAAAAAATCGAGAGAAAACATTTGCAGTCGCGAGATGTCTTTTTATAATTTTTTAAAGATTTAGAAGCATGCTGAAACATTGGCAAGAAAGATGAGTATTGTTTATGGATATTATTACTTATTTAAAAGTTTTTTTTAATTATTTTTAATATAATAAATTATGTATTCATAAAAAAACATATTATTTTAATTTACGGCGTTAAGGTGACACGAAAAAAATCTGAAAAATATAGGTACCTAATTTAATTTAATTTCATTTAAAATTGAGACTTTGTAAAGGTTTTAATATCTTATAAAAAAAATTTAAAGAAATATTTTTTTTTTAATTTTTATTTAGAGATGTTTGAGTTTTTTTTTTCTGCTTCTATCTGTCCACTTTTACTGTTTATTTGGTAATGTTTATTATTTGACGTATGGTGATTTTTTATTTTATTTTTCTTAAAATATCCAAAAACCTTTGTCTTATGTTTAATATTTAGTTATAACCAAACAACTTTTAAACTTAAAAAATTATTTTTATTATTTTTTACGATTATATAGAATTGACAAGTAATGAAAAAAATATACTAAAATCATAATAAACTTTTATTTGTTTTTGTATATCACCTAATTTTTATACGTTTTTTTCTAAATTTGTGTTTTTATAAATATACATGTATATTGATGTAAAGGCAGTACTCCGGCACTAGGCAAAGAGGGGTCATGTTAATAGTTTTATAGTTTATTAGCATCATACATACAAATACATGTTTAGGCAGTAACAAAAAGGTACATAAGTATTTAAAAAAATAAAAGTTGACTATGTGTTGTACAAACAAAATTATAGACAAGTTATAACATGTTTTTAAAAAGCAATATACAAAATATTCACAAGAGTGGTCCAAAAAAAATTTTTTTTGCTTATCATCTCAAAACCTTCTTTTAGGTATAAAAAAATTCCCTCCAAAGCGCAGCATAATATCTCAATCCTCCACTAAGCTCAATGAATTTTTATTTTCCCATTTAAATAACACGAGGAAACGAGGAAACATTTTTTTTTGAATTTCTCATCAATGATTCTTGTAAAAAATTTAATTTTCTACAAAAAAGTCCTGAAGTAGTTTTTTCATAATCCGGGTAAAAATTTTAAGCTTCAAATACTTGCTACTTAGTAAATTTGAAGGAAGATCGTTTCAAAGCAACTTTTTGAAGATATTGAGTCAATATCTTCAAAAAGTTGCTTTGAAACGATCTTGCTTCAAATTTACTAAGTAGAAAGTATTTGAAGCTTAATAACTCAATATCTTCAAAAAGTTGCTTTGAAACGATCTTCCTTCAAATTTACTAAGTAGCAAGTGCTCTTTTTTTTTAGTTCCACCCTTACTTCTTAAGCTTAAGCTATAGCTAAATATATTTGAAGCTTAATAACTTTTTACCCGTTAGGATTACGAAAATACTACTTCAGGACTTTTTTGTACAAAATTAAATTCTCTACAAGAATCATTGATGAGAAATTCAAAAAAAAAATTTCCTCGTTTTACCGGATAAAAAGGAAAAAAAATGTTTTACGTGTTATTTAAATGGGAAAATAAAAATTCATTGAGCTTAGTGGAGAATTGAAATAGCTGAGCTTTGAAGGGAATTTTTTTTTATACCTAAAAGAAGGTTTTGAGATAATAGGCAAAAAACCGACCACTCTAATATACACAGTAGGTGTACACAATTAGAATAATAATAAATAAAACTTGAAGCAATCGGTGCCCAATCATCTTTAAAACAAATTAAAAATGTAATTTAGATAATCTGACGTGGAGTAAAAACTATGCCTTAAATGAAATGATTTTAATACCATTTTAAACTGTTCAAAATTTAAATCTCTTACGGACTATGGAAGCTTATTAAAAAACATTGGACCATAATACGTCATTTATACCATTTCGGCTTCGGCTATGAAAATCTAAATGAATATCACCATAGCTTTGCATATTGTCACTACTTTTTTGCCTTCTGGTATTAAACAAATGCAAATTACTTCTAACTTACAACAAACAATTTAATACATATGTACACGGTAATGTTAAAATTCCCAACTCCTGAAAGGCAGCTTTGTAATCATCTCTAAAGTTCACCCTTGCTACTTAGTAAATTTGAAGCAAGATCGTTTCAAAGCAACTTTTTGACTCAGTTTTAGTCTGACGGGAGATTGTTAACTTTGCTCTGATCAGGCCTCATATGTATGTCAAACGTCAACCTATGACAAAATGTAACAAACTCAAGAATTTCAGTGTATGTAAGCACAGAATTATTAAACGCTTTAAAAAAATAGTATAGTATAGTAACTATAGGTACTATAGGACTATATATATAATATACAACAGGGCGGAGAAAGACGAAAAAACGCTTTCTTCGCCTGTTAGATAATGTTCTATTTTCATTAATTTTTACTTATGTACGAGCCCTAACCACAAAATGTTCGGACACTTCATAATTTATACAGAAATATTTTTCGTGAATACTATCTCAAAATTATTAGAAGTTATGAAAAATTCAGCTTATTTTGGCATATACCCCTCGAAGCGATTTTTATTTTTAAAAAGTTTACCTTTTATTTTTAGCTTTTAAAAAAAGGGTAACTTTTTAACTTTTTTTTGTATGAGTAAAAAAAGTTATAAATGGGCCCATTAAAAAGAACATAAAATATTATACAAACCCTGAAAATTTGGTAAAAATTGTATAAATAATAAGAAAGTTATAACGATATATATATCTGCAAAATCTCCT